TTGCATGTAGCGTATGTCGACGTGGATTTGCATAACATTAAATCATACTATTCTGCTGGTTGCGTTCTTGTGTGCCTAATGGGCTGTTGGCGTTGACTTGGACAGGACAATCGCGCCTTGACCCACGTGGATGGATTTGTAAATCTCAACAATGTCGACGGCTACATGACCATCTCGGTATGTTGCTTTATCAGTTGATGCCACGTTGCATGTGTAGCATTTGTGGACGTGGATTCACATCATATTTTACCATATTATTCTGCTGTTTGCGTCCTTGTTCGCGTAATGGGATGTTGGCGTTCTGACTCGGTCAGGACAATCGCGCCTTGACCAATGTGAATGGATTTGGAAAACTTGGCAATGTCGGAGGCTACATGACCATCTCGGTACGTTGATTTATTAGCTGATGCCGCTTTCCATATGTCGCATTTGTGGACGTGGATTTGCATAATATCATATCATATCATATTATTCTGCTGGTTGCGTTTTTGTGTGCCTAATGAGCTGTTGGCGTTGACTTGGTTAGGACAATGGAGACTTGACCCATGTGGATGGATTTGACCCATGTGGATGGATTTGGAAATCTCAGCACTATCGGCGGCAACTTTATCATCCGGGTATGTTGCTTGCCACGTGTAAGCCGCAGTTCTGGTTGTGGATGAGCATAATTGAATTTCGTGTTGTGTTGTGTTTTGTGGTTTTTTGTTTTTTTTTTGTGTGTGTGTGTGTGTGGTTGTGTGTTTGTGTGTTGTGTGCCTCATGGGTTGTTGGTGTTGACTCGGTCAGGACAATCGCGCCTTGACCCACGTGGATGGATTTGGAAAACTTGACAATGTCGGCGGCTACTTGATGATCTTGGTATGTTGCTTTGAATGCCACGTTGCATGTAGCGTATGTCGACGTGGATTTGCATAACATTAAATCATACTATTCTGCTGGTTGCGTTCTTGTGTGCCTAATGGGCTGTTGGCGTTGACTTGGACAGGACAATGGAGACTTGATCAACGTGGATGGATTTGTAACACTCAACAATGTCGGTGGCAACTTGATTATCTGGGTATGTTGCTTTATTAAAAGTTGATGCCACGTTGCTTGTGTAGCATTTGTGGACATGGATTCGCATCATATTTTATCATATTATTCTGCTGGTTGCGTTTTTATGTACCTAATGGATTTTTGGCGTTGACTTGGACAGGGCAATCGCGCTTTGACCAACGTGAATGGATTTGGAAAACTTGGCAATGTCGGCGGCGACTTGGAAATTCACGTATGTTGATTTATTAGTTAATGCCACTTTGTATGTGTAGCATTTGTGGACGTGGATTCGCATGATAATACGACATCATTATTCTGCTGTTTGCGTTCTTGTGTGCGCAATGGGTTTTTGGCGTTGACTTGGACAGGGTAATGACGACTTGACCGACTTGGATGGATTCGGAAATCTTGGCAATGTCGGCGGCAACTTTGAAATTCACGTACGTG